TGAGGAAATTTTCAAGGGCCAGGTCGATCAGATAATAGGCTTCAAAGCTGTTTGGATCATCATTGTCGGCGAACAATGCGGAGTGCCTAAATAAGCAATGAACGCTAGCCTGAGGATGAGTTAAGAGACACGGGATTATCGACTAGCACTCATCGGACACACACATGTAGAAGACTCTCAAAAACTCTGGACGACAGGATTCATAATGAAGAGAACGGTGTACTAAAAAATTGCGTTGTAATCATCTAAAAGGCAAATCTACAATCAACGATGGGACCCGGACAACAAGCCCCATTTAAAGGAGCAAACGTTCCTAGGATAGGCTTCAAATACGGCAAGCATGTGGCCTGTTGTTCAAGTCTATACGAAGGAAGCATATCGACTGCTAACAGCGATCACACTCACAAGTCATTGCCTACTTGGAGTATAATAATCTATTGTTCTTTATGTGTGTGACAAAATATCCTTAGAAAGTTTTATATTTTACTATTTTTGGAGAAAAGAGTTTTTGTTAAGTCAAGACTCAAAGTCAGATACTTCGTTTAGAATTGGTCCTTAATTTGACATGAAATTAAGTACAGACTGATATTTACAAGATTCCTGCACTAGCCTTTGGGAAGTTATATGGAAATTCAGGTATATCCGCATAGTTTCTGAGCGCAGAATTCCCTTGCCTACAGACGTTACAGAAATTGTTCTTCTTTTTAGGAGGCTTCTCTAGGACCTAGTCTTGGAACTCGAAGCCGGTGGAAGTACAAAAGTCCCTTCTAGAAATTCAGAAATTTCTGGATTTTAAAAATGCGATATTCCAGTTGCGAGATAATAAGTTTCAGGAATACGTACTTTTCGTCAAAACGGTTGTAAAAAATGAAAGTTTTGACAGTTCTTCCACAGACGGATATACATTAGTTGGGCATTAAAAATAGCCGGAAATATATATTTCTTAGGCAGTCATTTTCCGCGTTAGTTTGTCGCCGCCAACTTAGGGTCTTCTCATTGAAGAAGCAGTTGGGAATCACTCAAAATTATCTCCACTTATTGCTGATATTTCAACCTCACTTAATTAACCTTTTTCCCTATGAACACATAGTCAAGGGTTTCGTCAACGCTGCATGCAGTTCAACGTGCAGGGAAGGGCAGCATTTCTGGTCGCAAAAACATTATCCAGGCTGGCCACCAGCTTCGCACATAAATAGGGCCAAGCCGTCCTACCTGGAAAAGCTGAAAATTTGGCGCCTAGTGTCCACATATGGCTGCTTCAGAAGGCGCGTCATGGAGTCGATGACGCAACCTCCTGCTGCACCTTCACGTACAACTGCTGCAATAACATGAGTAATGCTCACACCCCTAACCACCCACAAGTATCTTTTGTTCTCTTATCATCCTCCGTTCAGAAACACTGGGGAGTTTTTTGAGCACACGACCTACTGAAACACTTTTCGCTGTCATTTTTTCACCAAATCCTCTACCACACATTTGTTTCCAGGTACTCCTAGGCCGGAATTCAATACTTCTGCCACGAAGTCTTGGGACGGGGCCGTTTAATATTTCAGAGCCTACAACGCTGTCTGAATTCTCGGGAGGGCCGGATCATTTCATGGCTGAACTAATACTTCAACCGAGATTTTAGTCCCCAACACAGGTCGCAACTGCTGCGCCTTATAATAGGTCCCACCGAGCTGGCATTTATCTAAAAGTGGTAAACGGATGAATCGCAAACTCTGCTTGGAAGCAATAACTGACGATCTTACAGGATAACTTGCCTCACCTACACGACAACACTTGCGCCTAAATGAGCGGAGACTGGAATGGAGGATTGTTTTTTAATAATTCGGTGAAATTTTTTTCTCTCTATGGGTTGTATTTTTATATAAAAAACGAATCAGTCTAGAACATGACCTCACCGATTTTTGACTTCCTCCGGCAATCGAAAATATCCATCGTAAACGCGGTACAAGGATGACTGGATGACTGAGGAAACAAAGCCCTGGACGTCTTCTTGAAATTCGCTATAATGGGAATTAACAGAAAATACGTTTCGTTAGCATGCACAATCAGGGCTGTTTCA